GTGGCCTCTCCCGCTGCGGAGCACAGGCTCCGGACGCGCAGGCCCAGCGGCCATGGCCCACGGGCCCAGCCGCTCCGCGGCACGCGGGACCCTCCCGGACCGGGGCACGAACCCGCGTCCCCTGCATCGGGAGGCGGACCCTCAACCACTGCGCCACCAGGGAAGCCCTACATCCATTTAGATTAAAAACGCCAGTTGCAGTAGGTAGTATTGATAAATTTCTTATACACTTAATTTGCTTAGCAGGGACTTCTCCTTCATAGTTAAACATTTGTGTGTACCCCCCCCCCACACACACACACACGACCCATCCCTAGTTTTAGATAACAGACAGTGGATGCTGATAAGAGATCCAACCAACCATCATCATTCAGGCAGGGGCTGATTGCCTTGTTAGCAGGTTATCCAGGATCCTCGCTTTTCCTAGTCCTTGTCTTTTGGCCATGTGACCCCAGTGTTAAGTACCTGTTGGGGCTTTGGCTCTCAGTGAGATGGGGGCAGGAACCACTCAGCATCATTGTACTAGCCAGTAGCTCTGATCAAAACATAGGTGGGGGCTTCCCTGGTGGCGCAGTGGTTGAGAGTCCGCCTGCCGATGCGGGGGACACGGGTTTGTGCCCTGGTCCGGAAGGATCCCATGTGCCGCGGAGTGGCTGGTCCTGTGAGCCGTGGCCGCCGAGCCTGCGCGTCCAGAGCCTGTGCTCTGCAACGGGAGAGGCCACAACAGTGAGAGGCCCGCATACCGCTAAAAGCAAACAAACAAACAAACAAACAAAACATAGGTGGGAGGAAATGCTGAAATTATTTGGCTAAAATGAGATTGGGTTGCCTATGAATTTCCCTTAGCCTCATAACAATGGAATTGTCTGGTTATTTGAAATTGAGTTTGCTGCTGGCTCAGAAATCAAAGGCAGATATCTTCAGATGGGATACGATGATTTAATTTTAATTTCACATTTAATTACAGAAAAATCTAAGCTGTTGTCTGATATAAGTGCTCGTCTGTGGTTTACATACAGAAGGAAATTTTCACCAATTGGTAGGTATATCATTTATTATACTGTGCTTTCTTCTTTGTAGATAGCTTTCCTGAGGTTATCAGTGACATCATGGAAACCTCAGACCTAGCAGCTCACTATGGTGAAGAATTTAATGTGGCGGAGTAGTTAAGTCTTATGCTTCATCCAGAAATCTCGTTGCCGACATGCCTCATCGTGTATGGTTCCATGGTGTTAATATGTAATGCCAGTATACTTTTGAGCCCAACCACCTCCAAGTGTTCAGGCACTTAGAAGTGTTACTTGTTTTAATTCTAAGAGCAAGGCAAAAGTCAAGCTTTTAATTTGGACAGTATCTATTAAATTATAATCCACTGCTTTGTGGAGATACTTGATTATTAAAGATGGCTGTACCTTGAAGGAAAGAAAATAATTCCTTTGCTTTTTTTTTCCCTGTGAGATGAAAACATCTTGCCACTGGGAGATGAATTATAATGGACTTGCTTGGAACTAATTCTAGTCAGTTAAGAGCACCAGCTGCTGTCTAGAAAAAAGGACAGTTCAATGAGCTAAGTGAATAGGATCCCTCCAGAGAAAATTTGTGAAATGTTTGCGAGTAGGGTGACCTCTTCCTAGTCTCGTGGTACTGTAGGAAAGGATCACCAAACTCAAATGGTGGAAGCTATTCTCCTAAGCGGAAACCTGTCTGACTGATTTTGGTCCAGGACTGGACCTAGTAACTGGAGTGAAATAAACCTTTCTGATAAGTGCAAAGAGTGAAGTTCACACAGACATTTTTTTTTTTTTTTTGCTCTCCACAGGAAGTACCTGAGCAAAATATGCAAAAGAACAATCTTTAGTGCCCAGTGATTCTAAACTGTTAAACTTTTTTCTGGGTGAAGAGATCTTTGCAAGATTTGAAAACATTTGCAGTTCAACTCTGACAGTGTTTTGGAAGAGATGATCTTTCTTTTATGTGGGCTTCCTTGCATCTTTCCCATACTAATCTGGCCCATAATCCCACCATTAGCAAGAGTCAAAGGATTCCCCTTCCAGCTCACAAATTGGCTCAACCTTCCCCATTTTGCTGTAGCAACTCTCCTTCGGTCCCCACAACAAAAGAAAAGGAGCGGCCACCTTGGCCCACTTGTCTTACGTGGTTGATGACCCCCTTTACAGTTAGTCTTGTGAGACCATGCTTATAAGCATACTTTTCCACTTCCATGTTGGGAAATGAAGCAATGAAAGCAGAATGTTTCTTCTGCCATCCAAGTTATCTCATTTCACTGGTACCTTGAAAAAGGATATTGAGCTCACCCTGGCCACGTTTATGGGATTTTTGTTACATCGAGTGTTCTTAAAATGGAACCCGTTGTCTTATTAACTGGCTTTGTGCCTTTTAAAAAGGTAGTACATTTCTAATTTATTAGTGGCATTTTTAATTATGACCATACTCATAACACCAAATATTTACATCATCCTGAGTGGGTTGTAGAACAGTTTTATACTCTCTCTTTTAATTCTTACAATATCCACTAATAGTAGGCAAGGCATGTGCTATTATCCCCAGTCTACAGATGAGGCTTGGATTAGGTAACTAGAGACTGGTCTTCTGATGCCTAATCTAGGACTCTTTCCTCTATTTTACATTCTCCCTCTTACTGTTCAGACCTTCATAATGTATATTTAGAACAGTCAAGAGCCTTTCAGATTTCCTTGACCATTTTGATAATCAAGTTTGGTAGCATTTATTCCTTAACTAAGGTAAGATTGCCCTCCCCAAGAAGTGAGTTGTGAAAAGTCAGGTTCGGTCAAGCAGATGATGACATGGCATGGACTAAGTGTTGGTAGTCATACATGTTAGTCATATACCAAAACTGCACGCATACCTGGATGTCTCTAGGCAGAAAACATAAGGGGCAGGTTTTGTTCATTTGTTTGTTTTCCTTTGGCCATAGAACCTGTTTTGGTTAACTCAGCATTATCTTTGCAAGTTCCACCCTGTAACAAACCCTGTTTGATGTCTGGCTATATATCTTGCCTCTCTATTCCGAGTATGTGTGCCTGTCTGTCTTGTATGATTCCCAAATATGCTGATGTTTTGGGAAAGGGCAGTTCTAGGAACTCATATTCATTCCCATCCATTTTGCCAACAGGGGGAACGGGCCCTTCGTCAGACGCCGGCTGGGGATGTATGTTACGCTGTGGACAGATGATGCTGGCTCAAGCTCTTATCTGCAGACACTTGGGCAGGGGTGAGTTAAATTTGCTCTGGAAACTGCCTCGGAGACCTCTGAAGTCTCACTTGCTGCTGGTAGTTTAGCACTGGTGCCGAGGGAACAGAGCTGCAGGTCCTGAAGTGCTCTCTGCAAGTCCAAGTAGTGGGGCTGACAAGTTGACAAAACCTCTCGTGAGAAGAAAACAGCCAGCATTTCCTTGTGACTCACCAAGCTGGAGACTTAGTTCCTGGGGCAGATGAATACTGAGGCAGGTGTATCATTTAGAGTTTCCATCTTCACTGTTGTTCCCATGAGTCCTTAAACAGGTCAGATAACAAAGGGAGCAGGAAGAAGTGTGTGGTGGTAAGTCTGTTTTTTGACCTCATTTAAAATATCTGCCTAGTGAAGGATGTCAGTGACCTAAAGGAAGTGCCTAATGAGGGAGATATTTTGGTTTGGGTTCAGTGATGATGTCCATTCGATGGTGAAGAAATCCTTAAATCAGCTTCCTCAGGAGGCTGCTTCATTAAGAACCTTCCAGTAATCACTGTTGGAACTCTCGAGTCTTGCTTTCTTAAGACATGCCTGTGCTTCCCTGTCGGCATCTGTAGGCTGACCTTGGGTAGATGCCAGTTCAGGCACTTGGGTGAAAGTCTGGTTTGCCTTGGGGATGAGGGAGTGAAAGAACACCTTGGATGAGATTGGGCTGCTGAACTCATCGGCTTTTGCTCCTTGAGATTCAGAGGTACAAAAACGTCGCTCCCTGTCTGGGACTACGCAACCTCACACATCTTCCTGCGGTTCCCAGAGAAGATTGGGGAAGAGGCTGGGGAGGGTTTAGGGCTTCGTGCCTTCTTTTCAGGGTTTAGGATGTCCTGTGCCTGTGTTCCCTGGGTAGTATCATAATTTCTGTTTTACAGATGAGGAAACTGAGGCTCAGGAAGTAAGGTGACTTGCCCTGGGTCAAACAGCAAGAAGGCATCGATTTGGGAATAGAATGCAGGTCTTCTGACTCCTTGTCCAGTGATTACTGTACACATACTTCTTGGAGCAGATTGTTCTTACTGTTTAACTTTCTCATTTATGAAACACTTCAAGATGATTCTTCTGGAAGTGAATTTTGTGGAAAGCAAACTGGGGGAAAAATCCCCCACAGTCAGCAATCTCAATTGTCTTAATATAAAAGCAAGTAGCAGGAAGAATGTGGAAATAGATCTTGTAGCTAAGATGAATGAGAAGATGTAATTTTATAAAGAAGTATTTTGGAGTGTTTCCTATTTGGTTATTTTACAGTTGAGGTGGGGTGTTCACTTATCACTGTCATCAGTAAATATTTAGTGGTACTTAGAAGCCAGCTAATCAGGGTTTCCCCCAGACTTGGACAGTTTGGTAGCTGATGAGAAACAGGTGGGTGTTCTTCACCCTTTGAAGACTGCTGGATACGAAGTTTAAAACTTTGGTTTCAGAAATACTAGAAGCGAAGAGAACTAAAGACTCTGGAGATAGTGGCCTTTGGCTTCAAGTAGATTTCTGTTGTGAATTCAAATGCTCTCTAAAACCTCAGGAGAGAAATTTCTGTCTTGGAAGCAAACTAAGTCTCAGAAATCTGTCCCATTAGACAGAGTTCCTAGAGCTGAGGGAATGGGAATAGTGCGTCCTGTCCACAGCAGTGACGACGAGAGTTTTTGCAGTTGTCCTCAGTAAGCGATAAGCAGCCCCTATAGGATTGGGGGGGGGCTGTGCCTGGGGCACAGATGGGATGCCCACAGATGTAATTATTTTAGTTTTGGTCATAAGGAAACCTGGAACACCTGATAACAAAGGTATTTGTTTTTCCAAAACTCATTGTGGCCTTTTTAAAAGCTTGTGTAAAAATGGCAGCATGCATTTTTAAAAAAAGCTTCCTTAGTTGCAAATTGTGTATATTCCCCTGGGAATAGGTGTGTGTCAGAAGAGCACTTCCCCCCATGAGACTCTGTGGGCAATGCTGCCAAAATATACGGACCAAAGCCATTGTTGTCTGTGTGGACATGAGACCTAACAGCGTCTGGGTGAGACACGGATATACTGCCAGGTTTTGTGGTGACCTCCTGTTCACTGAGTAGCTGACCAGAAAGGCCTTGTGACACTGTCTTCATGTAATATTTATCCAACTCAAGCTCGTGGGCTAAGTCAGTTCCTTGGTCAACTTCTGGTTTTGCTTTTACTTTATACCTAGTGAGTCTTTGAAAGAAATCAGTTTCCAGATGTCTTGGTCATCAACATGAAAGATACTTAGGGGCTTGCCTGGTGGCGCAGTGGTTGAGAGTCCACCTGCCGATGCAGGGGACACGGACGGGTTCGTGCCCCGGTGCAGGAGGATCCCACGTGCCGCGGAGCGGCTGGGCCCGTGAGCCATGGCCGCCGAGCCTGCGCGTCCGGAGCCTGTGCTCCGCAACGGGAGAGGCCACGACAGTGAGAGGCCTGCGTACCGCAAAAAAAAAAAAAAAGATACTTAGGAATGTTCTGACCTGATCGCTCCCACCTTCTACATGTAACTCCTTTGTTTTCCTTCTAACCTCATAGTCCCAGTAAGAGTGCAGAGATAACAAGCAGTTATAAAAATTATTTTAACTCATTTTTTTTCTTTTTCCTAAAAAGACTGGAACTGGGAGAAACAGAAAGAACAACCCAAAGAATACCAACGAATCCTACAGTGCTTCCTAGATAGAAAAGACTGTTGCTACTCTATCCATCAAATGGGTAAGGTCACTTGAGTAGTTTAAAGGCTGTCTCTCTGTTCTGTAGTTCAATTAAGAGGAAAGGAACACTGTATGTGAAATTCAGCTTACATTGCTGTATTTGCTTTTCTTGTTCCCTGCTTTGTATGTGGCTCTACTAAGTCGTCCCATCTACTTATTTATGCAAAAAATTAGGAGTTGGTGGTTTGCTAACCTGTTTATTATTTTTCCACATAAAAACAGCACAGATGGGTGTAGGAGAAGGGAAATCAATTGGCGAATGGTTTGGACCAAATACAGTTGCACAGGTGTTAAAGTAAGTAAAAGAGTCTGTCATGTGCCTTATTCTACCATCTCCTATGCCTCCCCCCACCAACTCAACATCCCATCAACCCAGCTGTTCCTGCCATCCCACTAAGCCACCAAACATCTGTACCATTTTGCTCAGATAGTTCTTTGAAATGTGTAATGTGTGTGGGCAACTGTCTTGGTAAATCACAGTTATAGTCATTGGTACCAGTCTATGGGGAGGCCCCTCAGGACTCATTCCGTATCCCACTTGTAGATTGGTGCTCACGTGCTCAGCCGTCAGCCTGAGGGTCACTTTGAAGCCAAAGGGTTTGCACTAAGTGGGGAAGCCTGAGCCAGCCTAGGCAAAACACAGACTCCCACCCTGTATGGTATTAAAAAAAAAATTCTTCACTGATTCATTCAACATTTACTGGGTGTCTCTGTTGCCCTAAGTACTGAGTGCACAGAAATAAACTAGGTGTAGTTCTTGCTTCAAGGACCTCACCACCTATTAGAGGAGACAAACCTCAAGGGAGTCTTAGAATCAGTTTGTCATCTCTTAGGAGACTTAAGGTACCCCAGCATGGTACTTTCGCAATTGTCCTGTTAAGTCTCAGAATTCACCTCCCACAGCAAGAGGCGACATGGAGAGGCCAGGACCAATGCTTTGGAAATGAATGGGGTGAGTGGCATCAGCACCTACACCTGCAGGCCATCTCACCTATTGTCACTCTCCTTTCTGACAACCTATCACCAAATGGGAACTCCATGAGGGCAGAGATGGTATTTGCCTCATTCACTCCTGTAATATTAGCACATGAAACTGCCTGGCACATGTAAGTGCTCAATAAATACTTGATGAATGAATGAATGAAAATGGCAGATAGAATCTGGGGCTGGATTTAGGCATCAGGAAATTGAAACCGTCTATAGCCTCCTTTGGTAGCTACTTCAATTCCTGGCTCTCTGGCGTGTGATGATGGGACCTGCTCCATGCAAAATACGGATGGGGCACTGTTTCAATTATTAGCCAACCTTCAATGAACTGGAATGCTTTGTAAATGTGCTTTTGAGGGGAGTAGTCTGGACTTCCTGGGGACCCAAGTGAAACCTGTATCTTTGCATTACTCTGCTAACAGTGCAGCCTCTCTGAGACCACTTTCTTACCTTGGTCCGTAGTGGTTTTGGGGGTGTTGTTGATCTGCTGAGTGAGGATCTGGTGGTATTTCGGGAACCACTGTAGGAACCCAGGGCAGAAAGTGTAGATTAGAATGGCTGTGCCGAGCCCAAAACCTAGCTTGATATGGTTGGTTTATAAATGACATCCCTCAGAATTTGCTTCTTTCTTCTAAATTTTGAGCTTCCCAACAACAAGCAAATGGAAACATACATTTTTAAAGAACTTAAGTGCATTCTGAGTCATCGTGATTGTTATTAACAACAGTAGATGATGATGATGTCGTCATTATTATTTTTGGGGAAAGAGACTACATTAAATGAAATTAAAATATAATGGTAATTAACCTCTTCTTGGGAGTTACTTTGGTTTGGGAGAGAATGTGTCTTTTGTTTTGTTTTGTTTTGTTTTGTTGGCCATTGAGACTGGGCTTTACTGCAGAATTCCAGAGTAGCCAGGGTAAACATGTCTTCTTCATACTGGCAAGAGGAGAAAGAAATAAGGGAGAGATAGACAAGGTACTTTACTCAGACATCAGATAATCTCTCTTTTAAAGGGGTTTTCTTTCTAATCTCCTCTGAAGTCATGCACTTCAGCATGCTCTGTCTTCAGCTGTTGACCAGCAAGGCCCGGCACTGAAGCCGTCTGCGGCCCAAGTCTCCTGGGACAGCATCCTTACCGCATGCGGGAAGGGACAGAAGAGGTCACCTCTCTCTCTCTCTCCCCACCCCCCCGGATTTCCCTAGAACTTATTGTTTGCATTATGTATGCTCCTAAACAAATATATATGTGTGTATATTAGTAACAGTTTTCTTTTTTTGAAAAAAGGAGTAAGTCAGAATGTCTCTTATTTAAGAAAAGAAAACAAAATCTCTTGGGAGAAGATGCACTGGTAACCTCTCTCTTTCGCCCAGTAGGACCTAACATTTAGCAAGGCAGCCTTTTGCATTTTGTAAAGCAGGCCTTATTATTGAGGTGCGGAAACAGTGCCTCTGGCATTCTCAAGGTCCCTGGACATAGAATGTTCCAGAGCTCAGTCAAGGGAGCCAGACCTGACCTGAATCCCAACTTCTCTGTGGCTCAGTGTTCAGGAACTTCAGGAGCGCTGGGCATACATAGGTTGTACTGCTTCCTGCCGAGATGTCCATCTTCCCCAATTGTGACTTCATTGTATGTTGCTTTGCAGAAAACTTGCTTTATTTGATGAATGGAATTCCTTGGCTGTTTATGTTTCAATGGATAACACCGTGGTTATTGAAGATATCAGTGAGTCCCGGGCCAGTTTACCTTCTCGGGTGGCTGGGTGATGAGATTCTTCCTCACCATTCAGAATGTGTGTGGGGCGTGGTGGGAGAGAAAGACAGAAAGCGAGGGAGAAAAAGAGAAAGAAGATACACACACCCCCCATTACCCCGCCCCCCGACTCTCTGGCCTGCCCATCTAGCAGGACAGGGGAGCACAGGGCTCCTGTTAATCGTTCCCTGTGCCCCTTCTTCTCTTCCCTTTCAGCTTTCTGAAAGGGAGAAAACAATTAGAGGATCTCTGCTGTCCCTCAGAGAGGCACCAGACCCTTTCCCTGCAGAACTCCCCAAGTGCGGGTAATCAGTTAAACCACTGACAGGTCTTCTGTGGCGGCCCCCCTGTGCTCCCTGCCACGGGGTTAGAGGGACCAACAGATACAGTCCCTGTTTCCAAGGCCCTTGCAGTCTAGTTGAGAAATGAGATTCTCCCAGTGAGCCCATAATATCTGACAAGAGGTAAGTGAGTGTTCAGTTGCCAGAAGGAGAAGTAAGGGCTAGAGGAGTGGCCTGGGCTTCCTGTAGGAGGTCGGGCAGCAGGGCCCCGGTGGCAGGGGGAAGGGCCTTCCAGGCGGCGGCTGTCATGTGAGGTCTCCTTTAGTTTTTCCCTTGGCACACCTTCTAGGGCTGGATGCCCCTTATTTACCCAGCTCTCTTCTGTTTCTAGAAAAAATGTGCCACACCCTCCCCTTGAGTGCTGAAACAGCTGCTGAGAGCCCCCCTGAGTCTCTGAATGCTTCGACCCAGAGTAAGGGCCCCTCTGCCTGCTCTCCAGCCTGGAAACCCTTGCTGCTCATTGTGCCCCTCCGCCTGGGCATAAACCAAATCAATCCTGTCTATGTCGACGCCTTCAAAGTAAGTCGCACCTTTCCCCAAGCCACTTGCTGCCCGCCCATCCCACCGCCATGTGAGCACGGAGATCCGTGAGCAGCAGTCCACACATGAGCTGAGAATCTTGCGTTCTCTTTCCC